GTGAATGACACAGTTTTTACCCAAACTGCTCCACTTAGAACATCTCTTGAGATCCCAAAACAGAAAGATAACTGAAGCAGAGTTGGAGGAAGTATGTTACACACTGGAAGGATGGAGAAGATAGGGGAAATACAATGCACTTACATTTATAATAAGAAAATTAGAGATGCGCTACATTTATATCAGCTATAAGCACAATGCAAATTGTGCCTCAGCTATAAACACAGCACAATCTTTTCCCATTTGGAAGAGACCGTTTCCATTACAGCACCAATTCAATAAGCCCTCTAAAGACTTCCAAGTAGTTTGCTGGTTAAGATTGTATGATAAAATGGCCTATTGTCAACACTAATCAACTTTTACAAAAGGGCTAGAAGTATAATTATTAATTCATATATACACATCAGATTAAAACAGATGCTGTACAAATAGCAAAGATACTGCAATAAAGAAGTAAGTGGTAGAAATAATTATTCTAAGTGCTACTTTACATTTTTGACTTTTTGTCTGCTACTGCCCTCTAGTGATAACTCAATCACAAACGCGGTTGAGTAAATCAGAGGAAACACATGTTAGTAAACCAAACAAGACCAAATCATTGCATATTAGTTAATATATTCTAGTAATATATTCCTTAATGATGGGGCCAACTCTTATTTTTATTGTTTAATAAATTTGGTTATTGATTTAAGAACTATAAAAAACAGGAATTTAACATTAACCTTGTGAACATACTGCCATACGTTTACAGTGCATTTAAAGTTATTTATTATCTACCAAGTTGAATGAGCTGCCCCATAGTAACTGGAACAAGAAAGGTTTCCCGAACACACACTCACACACACACACACAGAAAAATAAAATTAATAATAATTATAAATAAATAAATAAATATATATATATATATGTGTGTATATATATATATATATATGTGTATGTGTGTGTATATATATATATATATATGTGTGTGTGTGTGTGTGTGTATATATATATATATATATATATATATATATATATAATATATTAAAAATATTCAATAAATATATTAGTAGTACAAACGTCCATTCAATATTTTTTCTTGAGCCTTCTTTGAAGGCTCTGAGGGTTCCCCTGTGAAAGAAATGCTGTTTGCACAACAAATGTATGGCTCTTTCATTTACATTTCCAATAAAAGAGCATGACACATAATTACCTAACTTAATAATAGTGGTGTCTTCTAACTGTGTGCCGCTGACTGCTTTTTCTCCCAAATATACCCCAAATACCCATAAAAAGGGTCCCTTTGAGTTGAAAAGGCTGTGTCATCATCAGTAATAAACAATGGCATACAAAAGCTTGTGTTGGACCTGTGTATGTGAGTGACACAGGGCAGGTGCTTTAAGGACTGTACCAAAGAGGACACAGTCATGTGAGAGGTGGCCTAACAGCTGACATATGAGGACAAAATAGAATATACACTAAATAGTAACAGCATGAGCTAAATACTGAGACAGAGAAAGTTGTTGTGGAATGGTAACGGGGAGATATTTTACAAAGAGTACCTTAGTGCAAAGCAAAGTGGCAGGCCTGTATTAGCTCATGTCGAAGTCAGCACTTGGCGCTGACACCTGCTCCTAGATTCAAGTGTTGTCACAACTGTCAAAGCTGCACACATGGCACCTCCAAAAGGCAGACACATGGCACCCAGCTGCCCGAGGATAGCATAAAGAGTTAGTGTCTTGTCACTTCCTGTTCTATTGAACTGGCACAGTACTTTGTTTGGAGAACACACAAAAAAACTATGGGTGAATTGTTGGATTGGAAACCACATTAAGGAACCAATGACTCAAAATTATATACAAAATACAACTACTGCCGCTAATGGCCACATTATCACACAGTTATGGAGACATTTTCTTAAATAGTCAAAAAATTCAGGAATGTTTATAGTTCCGGGTAAATAACACGCACACACACACAAATACATTCAAGTATGCAACAAAACTTTTTGAGCACATACTGAAGCTTTGCTACCAGTTTTCAACCCCCACAACTTAGAAAAGCAAATGGCAAACGTTAGAACCACCCCTTCAACATCAGCATTATGTTCAGTGTGAACTTTTCAAAAACTCAGAAGATGACTAATTCAGTTCAATTAGAACACACTGCATTTTTCTTGAATGCTGGACATCTGATTAAATTATTGTTATCTTATCTCTTAAATTACTTTCACCACACAAACCCAACAGTCATCAACAGCAGCTGGTCACAGGTGCGAACCTGTTTTATTCACTTGCCAATTAATCTGAAACATTAGAAAAGTTAATTGATGCAAAGCTGATTTGGAGAGGTAAAATGACAAACTTCGTTTTAAATCCAACCTTAAGGATTATTTAAGTTATTTTAATTTTAAATTAATTATTTTTAAGTATTTCAAATAAACAACAGTTAGGTTATCGGGTTTATCTGAGCATTTCTGAGACAACAAAGCATGATCTTCCGGTTTTTGTACTGTCATATATATATCTGTATATATCTATATATATATATATATATATATATATATATATATATATATATATATATATATATATATATATATATATATATATATATATATATATACTTATATATATATATACACACACACATATATAGGTTATAGCTGAATTGTTGTTCTCCATTTTTTAAACATCTAAGGTCCATGTACTATATTTGGAATTTAACACCGTACAACCTTAAAATAGCCACTCACTTTTGGATTTAATTCAAGTCGAAAATGACTGTATCACTGTATCTTGATAATATTAACAGAATAATCTGTCATCAGCCCGTGTCTTGGAAGTGCAATTCTCGGTCAAAGGGTAGCGTCATGTTGTCTGTCCAAGTGGAGGATGTCCCTCTGTCGGTGGAAGGAGGGAGTGGTCAGAGCGGGTCACAGCTCGCTGTTCGTGTGCCTCTTCAGCGCACTCTACAAAGCATTTAGGCTACAGTCAATGCAACGTCCACAGGGACATGACGCGGATGTTTAATCCTTAACAAGGACAAAATGCAATAAAAAGGTGGGGAAATTCTCAATCATTAGGTTAAGCTTTGTGCCAAAACGGAATGCCACAAGAAGATGGAACATTACAAAACCAACATTAAGGTAGCTTATTCATAAACGCTAAAAATGCGTTGCGTCTACACGTTGCAAAGAATTTTGCATAGCAAGCAATAAACGCAACTCACTTAATTCACCCTCCTATCTCCCCTAATCACTCATTCATCTTTCATTCCTTCACCAATAGCTCCTCCCACCCTGTTCAATGCACAGTTTTTAAGTGCAGTAGTCTACGTTTAATTTCATCCAGATCAGTAGATTAATCATAGACGTGTTTAGTTCCCATTTATTCACCCATTGTAATTTTTTGCCTCATTGTGGACTCAGTTGAACTGTAGGCTTCTTTTCTGTATGTGTAAAGGCAAACTATCTGTTTTTACTTATTTAATGCCTGTAAACACACTTTGTCTATTCAAGTCAAAAGACAATCACATTTTTTCTCCCATTCATTATATTATAATTATACAGTTGTCCACATGGCTTACCCTGCATCTAACCAGCACCAACATCACCCACGTGATACAAAAAACTTCTCAGCTCAGACACTAGTGGGGAAGAAAAAGATAACAATAAAGATGCATAAAGCACAGGTTGGTTAACCTAATTAATTTATATAACAATTAATTTAAGAATAGCTCATCATAAATTATTACATTAACATTTGCTTAATTGTATGAGAATTAATAACACGCTTTGGAAGGAGTGCATTGAATATATTTCTCCAAAATAAAATGTTTGTGGTTGATTATGGAATATATGATTACCAACATTGTAACTGGGAGTGTATTCAATAATTCCAAAAGTTGCAAAATTGACTAACCAAAGTAAACCCTACTATGTACTGAATCAAAATGGCGTTGCATGGAATAACATCATACTCGGCCAAAAATATATGCATATATTTATATAAAACATGTATATAGGAAATGGGAAATATTGCAAAGTTTGCTAAGCATGCATTTGTATTATTTTTTGCTTTACTACAGTAGCACTAGACATCATTATAAAACATATGAGCCCATATTGTCCAACCTGCTGTTGCCACTGATGCGCCAGTTCCTGAACAAAAGAAAGCCATCACATCCCTCTGCCTGCACTCAAGTGGTTTGCTTAGACTGCAAGCTAGCATGTAAAGTAGATAGAGATCTGACCCTATAACATTTTATTACACTGAGATCTGAAACATTGTTTTCATTTTTACTAAATGACATCCCTAAAATAAGACTTACAGGTGTTGGCAACTTTCCTGACAATGGAGCTCGAGTGCTAGTGCCATAGTGATGCGAATAAGCCATTCTGTCCATAAAGCATCAAAAATACAATACCAAACGACCAAATTGTACCCAGTATAGACGAATAGTATGATCACAAATGTCATCCATAACTTACATGCGATTAAAATGTATTTATAGGGCATTTAACAGTAAATAATCTCGACCACGTCATTCAAAGTCAATGGCCGGACTGTGTTAGTTGAGAAAATGTACGGTGTTATTAAAAGCGAAAACGGCTTCATATATCAGACAAACTGCCTGCATCCCCTTCAGCATAGATTAGATTTTGATATGCAATCAGAGATTTGTCCCCAAATTCCTTCTGTTTGGGTCAATTTAACGCGAATTGTGGAAAATTGTTCACATCACACGTTACTTCCACTCGGTTTTCATGGAATAAAAGTTGTTCAGAGAAGCAGACATAAAAGGACAACTATAACCACGCAAAGCCTAATGTCCCCGCAACAAATCGAGATAGTTTAGACATTTGTCCTTTGGCTGTATTTTTTTAATTTGTCCGTAGTAAGAGGATGAAGAAACACAAACGGGACGGCGCCAGTTCCATGGAGTCCGCTAGATCAGCTGCTGGCAGTTGGTGTTCTCCATCACGTCCGCACCGTGCCTTCATAGACTCACATGCGCACCGTAGACCAAGACACTTAAGTTAATCAGACGCACACGGGATACTTTAAGTGTACCTACATTTTTTATTTTTGAAAGGGTGCTTTTGATATTGACTTTATCATTTTCACTAGTCTATTCAGCGCGGTGAAATACACTTTAAAGAATTTTTACTTCTGAGAAGCAACTCAAAGTGACCATGACAGAGACGACAGCTCCAGCTAAAGCCAAGAAGGCAGCCAAACCCAAGAAAGCTGCCTCTCATCCCAAATATTCGGATATGATTAAAGCTGCCATTGTGGACGATGCCAGCCGGAGCGGAGCGTCCCGTCAGTCCATCCAGAAGTATATCAGGAAGAACTACAAAGTGGGGGACAATGCTGATGTGCAGATTAAACTTGCCCTAAAGAGGTTAGTCGCGTCCGGGATGCTCAAACACACCAAAGGCATCGGAGCATCTGGATCCTTCAAGCTCTCCAAACCTGAGGACTCCAAAAAGCCAAGCAAACCAGCTGCAGCCAAGCCAAAGAAGGCACCGAAGCCCCCTAAAGCCAAGAAGGCAGTGGCTAAGCCCAAAAAAGTGGTTAAGACTCCAGAGAAGTCCAAAAAAGCACCAGCAAAGAAGGCGAAAAAGGTCGTGAAAAAGGCAACACCCGCAAAACCCAAAAAAGCACCAGCAAAGAAGCCCAAAGCAGCTAAGCCCAAGGCGAAACCCGTGAAAAAGGCAGCAAAGCCCAAGGCAAAGTCTCCCAAAAAGGCAGCCAAGACTGCCAAGAAGAAGTGAAGGACTGTGTCAGAGACATGTAAATAATACGGACGTGTTTTTTTGTATGTGCATTATTTTTGTAAAGTTTCATGCAAATTGAAATCTGTTTTACATCTTCACCATTGCACTATAGCATATGCTGTAGAATTTTCTTTAACTCTGACTTCACTGTTAATGCTGATTCAGAATTTTCTGATAAGTTTTCTTGTACATAGTTCTAATAAAATGTTTAATTTTGTGAGCATTGTTGAGCCCTCGTGCAGCATATTGACAGTGGACAACAAGTGTCATTGTAAATGCCCTCATGTCTGAAGACTCGACATCACTGTGTTCAGTCACTTTTAAGACTGTTAATATTCAAATAAAACTGTCGTCTTATAGAATTTATTTTAAATTCTTGTGTCTTGATCAATCAACCATATTAACTGACACCAGATCATAAGGGGGTATTAGCAGAGTTACAATATAGACCTATTTATAGAAGCTAAATTAGGTCATGTAAAAATATGCTGAACGTGTTCTTTGTCCACTCATGACTTATGATTATTGTATAAGAATCCATAACCTATGGCAATATAGGCGCTAGCATAAACGCTTGATAAACTTTTCAAATCAAAGGACACCTGATTGTGATAAATGTAGCCTAAGACGGTTTCAAACATACAATTTTTGAAGTGGAGTTGGCATGAATAAATCTGGTCAGTTTAACTTGAGCTAATTGACAGATGAGCATAAATGATGTAAATTTGACTTTTTGTAGATCCAGTATTGTGGAAGAGTAGATGCACGCACTTTCAGCAGGTTGATCAAGGACACACCCAAAATACATACCACTGCTGGGTCTCGGTCTCGCCAAACACCAATCCAATACTGCCATCTAGTGGTGTCATCAGAGTACAACAGTCAGAGGGGTTCTCGGCAGAGGCATGACATCACATTCTGAAACATGAACAGAATAGCGCTCAGGAAGTCCCTTTGCCGTAATAATATTTTGTTAGAGTAAAAGAACACCATAACATTTATTTTGTTATGTGGTAAATACGTTATAAAGAAACGCTGTCTAACCTTTTAGGTCCAAATGTAATTCCACAATATATTAAACTTCTCCATTTTTCATTTATTCAGTTGTGTACCTTTTTATAATTGGCTTCTTGACCTGCTTTGTTTCCATAAACCTTTATGATATATTGTGGAATGTTATACATTAAAAAATAAATAACTAAAAATCTTGATGGAGAATATAAGGAAATATCAGAAGTTATATAATGTACCTTTTAAGAGTAAAAGCCATGAAGGGGTTGTAAATAATAGGCTAGTCTAATATAATGCATAAACAAATAAAAAAGTACATTAAATTCCATCATAACAATCGTTTGAAACTAAATACAACAAAAAATACACATGACTCTATTCTATTTCAAGGGAAGTGGCTCAACTTTCAATTCTTGTTTGGTCATTTATTAAGCATTCAGTCAGTTCAATTTCAATTCAGTAAGAAAAACAGCCACATTTTAAAATCATAATGTTAAAGAATAGATTTGTATGCAAATGAAAGCATTAATTTTTGTGATATTTTCATACATAATTTACACAGGTAAACTGATAAAAGCAATGAAATTATTGAAAATTATGTAAAAAGAAAAGTTAAAGAATAAATAGATTGCCTGCCCTTCTAGCAAACTGCAAATACTTATATCACACTTTTATATTTTATAATGAAAATATGGATAGGTAAAGAATTGTTAAGCATCCATGCACAATTTTAAGGGTTAGTGTAAATTTTGGCAAGGTCGATCAGAACATTCTGCATTTGTCTTGACTGTTACGTATGGACAGAATAATTGGCAGGCAACTATGGGCTAATAGCTTCACTTGGTGCACCTTTGGGGTAGGTCTTGAATCGTCTTGGCATTAAGATATAGAAAACACTGCACGTATGCAATAACTATTCAGTCTCAACAATAACACTTGGCAGATAAAATTTTTTACATTTTGCAGTTGGAGAAAGCACCAGAAGAATCAATCATTGTTTAAATCATGGTATTGACAGCTCAGCCTGAAAATACGTTGTAAGGCAAAGGAAGTATGTGGCAGAAAGGAAGTCTGACAGGGGAAAAAAGCAAATTGACATATGATGCCTGGCTGGAGAAGCAGAGAAACTGTGGTCTTGGACATTTGGTCTAGGTGAAAATAAAGCTCTGTTGATTGTTGGGTCATTTCTGTCGAACGGCTCTGTAGATTGCAAAGCCCAAAACAGCAACGACAGCGGATCCCAGTGCCACTCTCAGCCAGAACGAAGTGTGGCTCATGTCTGATCCATTCAAGTGCCTATGGTAAATGTGGATATAGAAAGAACCTTTAGTACAAAATACTGCATTTTCTGAATGAACTTGTTCAGCTGTGAACATACGGATACACTGCTGCCCAGGCCAGTTTGCTATAGATGTTTTTGCTTGTTGAATCAAGGAACTGATGAGAGAAAGGCAGTGGAGCAGGCAGCCTGTGTTTATAACAAAACTCTGACGGTGTCATCCCATGGAGCTGTTTTACTTCAGGGAGATCCACCTTTGAGGCCACTACAACACATGGGATGTTGCTCTCCATATAATGTTGCTGTAATGGAAAATGAAAGAACAACATAACAAAAAGAGACACCTGTGCACGTTAGTGGGTGAGAAGTAAATCCTGCTCTGCTGTGAAATTGGATAAGTTTCAGATATTTATGAACTGTCACCAGAGGACAGGCACTTGCACAAAAAATATTTTCATTAGTCCGTAAATATCTGACATATCTACCTTTTTTTGAAATAAAATTTAAAGAAGGCATGTCATGCTTTTCTCTGCTATATTGTTATAACCTATGATACAGGTAGGCAATGATTTAATTTTTTTGACATTTTAAATTGCAATATTGATCTAAAATAACTTAAAAAACAAGTCCGGGAACTCCCTGTTCCAAACTACAGAAGCTGAGGATCATGCTGACTTCCCCGCCTATGCATAGCAGCAGAGAATGTAAATAAAGAAATTAGGGTGTGTATGAGGGGGTAGGGGAATTTTCAGAGAAATAGTGTTTTGAATGCAGGAGTATAAATATGACTCAAGCATGCAGGAATCACTCACCTTGTAAATACTGGCACAATAGTCGAAAGAATGTGGGTCGCTGACATCGTACATGAGACAGGCGACATCACACGCCGCATCGGACGTCTTTAAGAACTCCACCTCCACATCTACCTCATGGAGCTGCTCAGAGGACAGTACATATATGTTCAGACTGATGCCACAGTCAGGTTAACACAAATAAAAAAAAAAACGAAAAAAATTAAGAATACACACTATAAGATACTTTTCCTGGTTACTGACTTGAATGGTGTTTATAGCATAAGGGGAAAAGGCACTGCTGGGTTTTTCCTTATTCTGTACATGCAAAAACAGAACATAGCATTATATGACAGTCTAGATAAATTTTAAATGATTGGGGTTGCAATTGCCGTACTGCTGTGTCATGACTAATAAAAGCCTGGAGAAAGGCTGATTTTCCTGTCCCCCGAGGCCCAATCACTTTACAGAGAAACACAGACCGCTGAGTCTGACGTTTTTCCAAGTCCACCTCTTTTTCTCTTGTCACTACAAAGACGAAAGCAGAATCAATTTTTAAACTTTTACAGTGCATGGTTTGTTTGTTTACAATTTTACATAGCTTATTTCTTCAGACAGATTTAAAAATTCTCTTAAGCTAAAAGATTCAAAGCTGGATGTACCCAAACCAAATAATGAAACTTTGAAAAAATATAGCTTTCTGAATTTTTAAGACCTGATTGAAACCTGGTACCAAAGACAAACTTGATGCAATGTATCTGAATCAGTTAAGTAATCTTAATAAAAAAAGAGCATGCACCTGTGATTGCAGCAGTCTGGGAATCCTGCTCAGTGAGTATGGAATAGCCTAGATATCCGAGGTGCTCCAGGCAACGGTGGATGTCTAGGTACGCAGAAAGTCTGAAAGAAGAGGTGTTTGTAAGCTTTCTGGATTTTTACACTAGATCAAATAAAGTTTAATTTAATCAGACACTTACGTCCACTGACATAGATAGCCTTTATTAGAAATAAAACCCTTTTCTGATGTCGGGACAGACCTGTAGACCTCTGGGCCCCATGGCATGTAGGGACAAACGCAAAATAAGTTCTTAAGTTCTCCTGGTGACAAAGCTGAGTCTTTGTCCTGTGAGAAAAATAAACACATGTAGCAAATGATAGAAATAAAAGTATAATTTTGTAACTATGAATTTATGTCCATGCCACGTACTTCATCATACTTGTCAAATACTTGCTGAAGAAACTGGAAACCAAGGTGATTGAGTTCTGTTGTACAACCAACAGGAACCCGCAGCCTAAGAAAAAGAAACAACTACATTTATACACTTTAAACTAAATGGAATTTAATATAAACACCAATTGACATACTCAGGGTAAAGATAATCATCAGTCAGTTCTAAGTTGTCATCATAACCAAATTTACGAAGGATGGTCCAAGTGGTTTCATGTCGACCTCTTTGAATAAATAATGTATTCAGGAACAAGAAACCTGGAAAGCGAAACGTGATCCTCAGTTACCAGATACTTGTGCCATTTGAACAATATGCTCTGAAGTCATGTGTTCAAACATATTGATGTTACCGTTTAGAGTTAGGCCATTGTCTTGTACCCCATCACTGGTATTCTTCCAGACCACAGTTTTCACATCTTCTAATGCTTGAGGTGCTAAAGGATTCCCAAAGCAAGATTTCTAAAAAGATAACACATTCTATTATTTTCTAATTACATTACATTAGGTTGCTTCCAAACTAAATATGATTTTACCTGAAAACAGTTTAATTCAGCATCACTAAGGATCCGGTCATTGTCCTGGTCTGAAATGTAGAAAACTCTGCTAAGGGCACGTACACACAGAGGCTTCAACTGAGGACCAAATCATAAAAGCTCAGAATGAATGAATGAATGAATGAATGAATGAATAATTATCAAAATTAATGAATACTACAGCATTTCAGATCCATACTTGCTTATCCTCAGGGTCATAAAGAGGGGCAGTTGGATGAAGAACTGCCTTCTGTGCATAGTAAAACAGCTCCGAAATATTTTTTAGGTTCTTTGCTGAACACTTTAGAGAAAGAGCAAGAGGGAGGACAATGGCATTTGCATGAATGTTTATACAAGATTAGGATCATGTACCTAGTTAATTTATCAACAAATAAAAGATTACAGCAGGTTGGACATTTGAAACTCACCTCAACACAGGTTTCTATCTCTGAGAACTGGTTCATAATGGGAAGAATAGTTTCCATAGAGCTCCCACAGCGAAGATCAGATTTGTTTCCGACTAGTATAATAGGGATTCTGTGAGTTGAGAGGAAAATAAAGTTTTGTTTATTGAAATAAAACCTATTGTCCTTGCTGTAGTTTATTAACGTAAAAACATATCCTCTTGTCCTCATAGGAACATACTTGTTCCCTTTTTCTGCATTTCCATTCACCAAAGGGATCCATTTTGTTCTGATCTGAAATGAAGCAAACACAGATGTTGTTCAAACAGACTACATAAAATTTCATTAGGTTTGATTGAGTCCATTACCTTCTCGATTGTGTCCTCATTGGTAACATCATATACAACACAAACAACATTAGCCTTGAAAGAAAAACAAAAATTGCATTTGTGTGAATGACATACTTTTTTCAGTTATTTTGTAGATTCCTCTAACATAGTGCAATTATTATCTGTACTCACCTTAACAATTTCATCTCTGAGTATTTCTTCAGTCTGCTCTTTTTCTGTTAAAAGAGCAAAATGCGAAAAAGTTTGAATATGTTTCATGTTTTGCTGCAGTTCACATCACAACAAATGGTGAACAGCAAATAAGAGCCATTGTTACTTACCAGAGTAATCCACAATGTGCGTGGGCACCTTCTCTGGTGTCACATCAGCTGGGATGGTTATCTCCTCTGCTCTGTGAGGGACCTGTTCACAATAATAAATACATCTCACACTGACTGGGAACTGGGAATTACCCAAACTGGACACAAACACTGGATCTCTATGATATATTGTGGATTTTTTTTCTGGAAGCGCAGATATATATAATCCAGATTGATCAACTCGTACAATAAGGTATTAATTCTGAAATACAAAGTACTGACACACCTCCTCTGGGAACTCCTCTCCAACCAGAGACATGATGAGTGAGGTCTTCCCAACTTGGGCTGTAAAAAGTAATTACACAGTTATACACAATGAAACCCATCTCTGTGATGCGACAGAGGGATTGTATTTAATAATTTATTAGAGATTAGTTGACGTTACAGTAGTAGTAGAATAAGAGTTGCATGTTACCGTTCCTGTACACCTGTTTTAATTTACCGTGTAAATACTGTCGAGTTCAATTACAAAAGTCGTAACTCCCAAACAGCGGCCGAAATTTCGAGCCAAAGTAACCTAAACTTTATTTAAGATAATACTCATCCTGGAGATGGAATTGATTTGATATTTGATTCAAAATAACATATGTTCAAAGTATAATTCACTCATTACACTGGTTTATTAACTATGCTTTTGCCTTCAAGTTTTAATTGTGAAAAAGTGTTACAAACATCATCATAACAATTCCTACAGGACAAGTTCCTGCTAATAATGCTAGTTTTTAGCTTGTGTTGAGCTGACAACGGGTAAGACTTACGTTCCCCTAACAAAAGTATCCTCACGTCCTGTTTCATCTCGCTTCTGTTTCAGCAGCGACCAAAGTCTCTAAAGTACCATTTATATTACGATTTAAGAACGCACTTCAAAATAAAAACCAATTGAGCGCCTTTGCATGGTTTGTGTGCAGCCAAGGTGAAGCCCATGTCTTTCCGGTTCACGCGATGAAAGCGGGCCCTCTGCTGGATAAAAACGAAAACTAAAATTGTAAAATTGTTCCGCTTTTTTAATGTTAAAAGTACTTAAAGAAGCGCTATTGCTACATATGAAAAATATAAAACGCTAAGCAGTTCAAAATAAAATTCTTATTACCTTTAAACTTATAGAAATGCAGTCTGTTTTATTTTTTATTCAACCATGTAACAAAACACATATTGCCCATAGGATAATATTTAAACAACTGATTAACACATTTGTATCATTTTGATAAAGAAAATGAAAAAAACGCTAAACCCACTAAATCTTCACCCACTGTTAAAAAGTGAGTATTAAAATTGTAATAAATAAACAACAGTGTGAAAAAAAGAAAGAAAGAAACAATAGTAAAACATGGATCACACAACAGATGAATAATGGCTGACGTTGAGGATCCATAAATAAGTCACATTATGAAAGGCTATGCACTTCCCACAGCAGGATCTCATTAAATGCCACAGTGAAGAGGAGAGCTCCAGAAGGTGAGAAGTGACATTTCTGCAGCGAGTCACCATGCACATAGTCCTGAAATCTGCCACTGCTCGGCTCAATAAGCTTCATCACACAATCTGAAAAAACAAGCAAGTTCAAAGGGAAAGAATGTCACTATAAAATCACCATCACTGAATAAAAAAACTGGATTTGGTCAATTGCCAGGGCATAAACAATCAATATGTTGTAAAGATATGATATATGCAACAGTATAGTGGGCCTGCTTAATCAATAAAAATGAACAAAATGCATCACCTTTTGATCCCACAGCAATATGACAGCTTTTTGGCGAAATACTAAAACAAGTGGCCCAATGGGGCATGGCAATCTTTTTCATCATCTAGAGCAAAACATGTTAAATCAGTATTTGTGAAGAAGTTGAAATTTATAGAAGAATAAAGAGCTTTATGAGCATGTAAACCTGTTTTTTAGTTAGACTGTAAAAGGACAACTCCTTCTCTACCCCATAACCTGTGTAGACCACAAGACTGGGGTCTGATGGACAAAAGGCTGCCAAGCTTGGAGGAGGACTACCATCCTAAAACATAATATAAAACAAGTATAAAAAAGTTGAACAAAAGCTGAAGTTAAAAAAAATCATTAAAGAAGACATGATGCTTTTTTATAAGCAAAAGATTTACATTTATAAATTGTGAAACCCATATGTATGACACACTGTCTGAGAGCAGTGGGGGGGATAGGGAGTAAGCGAAAACTGAAAATTTCAGACCACTCAAGCATCGAATTCCTGACATCAGTAAGGATGGGACAAAATCTCGTGTCACAAGCTCTGAGATAAAACTGCCACAAGATTGTGCACACATTTGGATTGTATGAAATGACAACTGGACAATTAATGCTGGTTCTCACTTCTGTAGCCCCGTTGTTCCAAAAAGTTAATGTATTCATTGTATACTATGTCTCTCTCTCGTCTCATCTTGTCCCCTCTAAATGCTAATGATGGGGTAACACTATGCTAAACGTGGTTAAAAGCTCAGAAAAGTTCATTTGAAAATGTCTACTTTAAAGCTATCTCTATATCAGCTATATATAGTGCGTATATTATCGTAATCATCATCATCGTTATTGTCGTCATCATCATATAAAATGTTTACACCGTAAAATATGGTGTACCAGATTATGCCCATACAGTACATACCCCAGTAAACACTGGAGCAGGAAATGTTAACCAGTCCAACAGTTCACATTTGTCTCTCTTCCAGTCACAGACCCAGACACTGACACGTCTGTCACCACTCGCAGCCAGCCACATCTCGGTCCCCTCCAGTCCAAACTCTCGACCCTTCAACATAGGAGACAATATTTTTACATTCATTTTTCTTTTATGCGTTTATTGATACTTAGCGTCACACCTTCAGGGAATTCTGATGACATCAAATGCAAACTGTAAGTATGCTCTGTTAGACTTAATCTGACCTTTAGTTCACAATCACAACAAACAAGCTAGCAGTTTTTCTATTTTTAACCATTTTTGCTGAAATTAAAACACCTAAACGGGCCCAGAATGCCCATATTGGCCACAGGTTCCTGAAAGTCTGTTGTTTTAATCCATTCGATATTTTTCTTGACTTTTCTTAAACAACACATTTTCAGGAGCCTGTGATCAATATGAGCATGGTTCTGTCCTTAGGTGTCTGATGTTCAACAAAAAAACGATGAGAATGACTAACTGAAAAACTTGTTTAAGGACATAAATTATCTTACCTGTTGTGGTTCCTGCTAAGTGTGTTCTTTATGGCCAGACTTTTATCTGAGTTTTGTTTTAACACAATCTAACTTGAGTAACATAGCTTTAGACAGAGAAGTGTCCCTAGTTAGCATCACATCCCCAGCAGATGTTGATGTTTAGGATCACTGAGGACAGTACAATTCTTTGCACTAAATAATCATATGTAATTTCTCTCAATAGATTATAGTAATGAGAAAAAGAGTCTTCAAGGAATGAAAAACTAGTAGTGAACAAAGGAAAATTGTGGTTATACCATAATTTTCTTTGTGTCAACAGAAAATGGCATATATTATTCAAAATAATATTATGACTATATAATTGGCAGTTTTGTAGAACTGCAACAATTACATACATATAAACAAACCTGCTTATGTATACTTTGAATGGTGGTAATGGTGGCCCCTTTGTGGTCCCTGATGACACGCAGGGTAACTCCGCTCTCCGGGCTGCTGACTACTACAAGACCATTTTTTCCAGCTGAAAGGATCACATGGCCTACCCAAAGAGAATAATTTTTAAAAGCCATAATTATAGGAAGTCATAGATGGCTTCTAAAAATACAAAATCAATAAAGAATGTTAAAAAGAATCCCATATTCAAATTCTATTAAATTTCAACTGCTACTTCCCCCCGGTAAGTTGGGAAACACTGTGCTAGTGTGTGGTGCAGAAGAGATTGGAGGAGAAGAACTGACCTTTGGCAGAATACTGAATAGCAGTGACCTCCACATGATGTGGACGTAGTTTAATTTCCATTTCAGATGAGGCCAGTCTGAAAACCCTCACTGTCCCATCACTGTATCCTGCCGCTAAACACAAGTTGTCCTTATTGAAAGATGGGCTCCAACAGATGCAACAACACGCCTAACATATGAGACGAGTCAAAATGTTACAGAGAAATGCCACTGTCATCACCAAAGACAGGTGTTTTATTTATTTATATATATTTATTACCTGGTTTAAGACCTGGAACTGCACCAGTAGCTCGTTGCTGTGTGAGGCCCACACTCTCACACTGCCATCTTCACTGCATGTGGCAAAATGCTTCTCATCACAACTAAAAACCACATCATTCACCTGGTCAGGAGTAAAACAAACGCATGGTCCTTAGGGGACATTTTCATATTTGTGTATGTGCTTTTTTATTTATTATTTCCAAAACCCAATATTGTATTAAGTTGTAGAGCAGGGGTCTCCAACCTGTAGCTCGGGAGCTAACAGTAGCTCTCCAGTCTCTTCCAAGTAGTTAACCAAGGGATTTATAGTAATTGTGCTGAATAACTCAAATTTGATTGATTAAATGCCTATCTCCATTGTAAATGTATCGCTTTGATGCCTAATTTTGTGCACTGATAACTGGAGAATGGATTATGTTTTATAGACGTCAAACTGCACATCATCTATGGCTTGCCATGGTTCTTATATGTACTGAATTTCTAGCAACCTCTAAAATTAGTAGCTCTCCGGCATTTTTGTTTTACAAAAAGTAGCTCACATGAGGAAAAAGGCTGGAGACCCCTGTTGTAGAGAATTGCACATTGATGCACCAATGAATAACAGAGTATAAATGTGACTATTTATTGAAATACTCATTGATCATGACACTTTTTTGGTTATGCACAGTACTGATATTGAAGGCTGTATATATATTTTGCATATAAGACATTATATTGGTACCTTAACCTTGTGTCCACTGACAAGACGAATACTGCTGTTTTCTGACCATTTGATGTACCATAAAGTTCCCGCAGTGGTGCCAACAATCCCCATGTCTATTGCATTATCAAATGCAGCGCTCACTATGATTCCATCTAACAGGACCTCCTGCTTCATCACCACAGCAGCTTCACTGTAGAACCAGAAAGAAGAAAAATAGGAGAAAAATAATAATAATATTTATAATAAATAATATTTGACACATCTTAAATTTTCTTTCAGTTTTAAGGTTGCAGTGCGAAAACATTTTCCATTATTAAATATTGACAACTGATTTGATTTCATTCATGACTCTGGAAAAAGGCTAACCATTTTGATAAAATGTGTCATGATGGAAAATGGTATGACATGACATAAATACAATAAAAGACTATTCTATTAACTATACTATTGTACTGCTTATAAACCACAAGAGCCATCATTTCATTCTGACAATGAACGTCAGCCTCTTTGTTTTCTACCCTTGTGTTACAGGAACATGAAAAATATGATTACCAAAAAACATTCATCAGGTATACAATACAGACCTATGTTCCATATTGGAAATTTTTCCAAGAGACCTCATGCCATGTATAGCTTCTACCTCCCACAGTCGGAGCCAGCGGGTGTTACTGCCAGTCAAAAGATGGCTATCTTGACATCGCAGCACTCCTATATTAAGCAGTCAGTAACTTCAATCACTACTTATGCCCAAATACATTGACAGGACATTTTTGCAAGATCATATTAGACATGCAAATTGTTTGTACCGATTTCCCCCAGGTCTGCTTCCCATGTCATGAAACAACATTGTGTGTCGATATCCCACACGCATACATGGCCTTTGTTGGTTGCAGTGAAAAGGTAGTTGTCACTGTGATAGCTCAGTGCGGTCATCTCCACCACACCAACCTCAATAGGTGGGTCCACACTTTGCACCTGAAAGATTAAGGTCACCTATTAGTGGATGGGTAATGTGGACAATCTGTCCTCTCATTCAAGCACTAGGAATGGCATATTATTTGAGGACAAGCAGACATAGCTACTGCAGCTCCATTTGATGAATGTTGGCTTTACAGTTGAGGTGGGCATGCTGTGGTGCGGTGATTACTTATGTTTGGTCAAATGGCTTGCATATTATACTGTAATACGGGCCATGGTTATTTAAGGTTTCTTACCTTAAGCTCCACATCTGGAACACATTCATGGATGAGACAGAAATAAACTCCCATACTCCCCACACATGCCAGCTGGCTAGCTGCTGTGGGGCTAAAGGCAGCATCATGAAGAGGTCCTGACACTCTGACACTTGAAAGCAGCTGTAGAGTCCTACTGCTCCACAGGGCCACCTCTGGGTCACTGAAGTCACCTAGGCAAAGGCAGTTTAAACCTGCAAGTTAGGTAACAGCACTCTAGTTTATTAGAGAAGAGATTATTGTGGTATATATTAAGCATCAAGTGCCCAGTTTGCCTTATAGTAGAATAAAACTCCTTCAGGCGTATGGGGCCAAACATAGTGAGCCAATCACCAAAAAACTGACCAAACTGTAGCAGTGCTTAGTAAAAACCAAAGTTACAAGGAACATTTGAAGCAAAAAGGCTGTATTAATGGATCACTGGCTTTGTTTTAAAAACACTTCTGACGGAAGACTACTCAAAGTGACTTGCTCGCCAAACAATCTAAACCACGCCATTTGTATTTTACTAACCCACAGAGAGGAAAAAACGATCATCTTTGGAAAATATAAGACACTGCACTGCTCCCTTGTGATGGGAGATGGATTTGCGACATGCTCCGCTCTGGACATCCCAAATACAAATCTGACTTCGGATTCCATTTGTTCCACCAGCTCCCGATGCTACAGTCTGGAAAGCAAAGAAGAGTGAAATCGGCATGTCAGTGGACCCAGTTTCTGTCCAAGTCTTAGTGAACGTGTTAAATATTTGCAAATTATACTCTAGTACATATTAACACAATACATTAATCATATTCTTGCATTTATATGTATGTTTACAATGCTTAAGACATTTTACAGGCAGGTAAAATGGAAAAATATGAAAAGATCATGTTTACAGTTTGCTTACATCCCTCTCTGGACTGTAAAGAAATGAAAGATAACCTGTGCATCATCTGTCACCGCAAGACAAGAAATCTCCTGATTGTGTCCCTGGAGATGTTTCTGGATTCCTGTGTGAAGGTATTCCACCACAACTATACAGCCACAGGAGTAGACAAATAATCCTGCAAACACCATGCAAAAAAGATTTGTAAAGAAATGACACCAATTGTGTGTTTTAATAGTCTAGCAGTAGAGATTCAATCTTATATTATAACATTACAGTACTGTCTTACCTTTATCAGGACTCCATGCTAGGTTGCTCCGCCCATTACCGTTGTAACCAAGTACTGCTTTCAACCTTAGGTTCTGTACCCCTGGTTGGGATAGTAAAGCATTCTGGATACAACAGCAGCAACAAAGCTTTTTAAAAACATTCTTGAGTTGAGTATTATTACTATTATTATTTCTTTTTTTTACCTGATTCACCACAGACTTCTTAAAATGTGGAACAAAATGCCGATAACAGTCTGGACGTACAGCTTGTCTTTTTATGTTTCCTATTGACCAAAATTGCACTCAGAATGGTACTTACATTTCAACTCAAATGTAAAACTCAATGTAATCCATACTCACTGCAACCAAACTGACAGCTAAGAGGAAACGGACTCTGTAGCTCTGTGACTTTAAGGAAAGAGGCTGGAGATTTAGACCTAGTTACCAGTGTTGACTGACATATTTGGGAACTAAGAGAAGGACAGTTTTTCTGAGAATCCACAGCTGCAAAAAGGAGACAAAAATAGAAGTAACACAAATAAATCCATAACGATTTCCAAGACAACACAGAATGTACTAGGGCAGTAATTCCTCAACCTTTTCACAGCAAGTAAGAACCACCCAAGAAAATTAAAATTTCAAATAGAACATTTTGTCCTTTACTCTTACTTGATTAATACTTTTTACTGTTACCTGAATAATTTCTTGAGGACTATTCCTATTTCAAACTAGGGTTAAACCAGGTCTGAAACAAGACTACACAATTTCTATATCAGTTCTAAACCAGGATCAACCCAGTAATCAGACTCTAAATTAATTCTGTTATTTTAGACTGCCGAGTTTGCGTACTATATTTTGAAAATTAGTGCACCAGATTAATCATTTATGGAAGAAAAAAAAAGTCAGAGCTAATGACAAAAAATATAGTGAAGAATTTCAGCAGTTTCGGTACCATCATGATCGAATTGTATGATGTTGCAAATGTCCAGTTGTTGAGGAGGAGAAGAGGGGAGGGGCGCTGCTTGTCGAGGCATGCTGTTGGACAACTGAACTTGCGGTACATCTGTTAAAAAGATTACATAGAAATAAACAACAGCAAACAGCATTTACAGTACTATTATACAATATTACCTGACAGATCTGGAGTTGCACAGCCACTGGTTACTCTTAAAATTGAACTGTATACAAGTAGAGAAATCAAAAACGTTACCATCTGTGAAATACAACTCAAAAACACGCAAAGACCAGTTACCAGTTAACAGCTAAAGAATCTGTGGGTTCAGCGAGGAAGTCCCAAATGAATATGGCATCTCCAACTGAAATTACACTGTGTTGGTCAGGGGTGAAGCCCACCTGGCAGATGGGCTGGCTGTGGCCTATGAATGTCTACAACACATTTTAATGAGAAGTTAGAGAAATGTAAAGAGACATGTAAAGAGACTAAATCTGTGCTATTCTGTATAACTGACCTGTGATTTCTGCTGCACATCATAATCCCACACTTTGACAGAGCTTTGGCCTGCTGTCAAGAGAAACCGGTTGTCCTCACTCACGGACAGAGACGAACAATGCTGCTTGTCCACCTTTGACACCTATTACCGGGCACAAATGTACCATACATTTTCAAAAATGGAGTATGAAACTCCATGAAAAGAACAAAATTATCGGACCTCACCTTTGTTAGTGATAATTTAATGCTTCCTTTTTGCGGGTTTAACTATACAGTTCATAAAAAATAAAGGAGCGTTTTGAAAATGCTGGTTTCAAAAGGGTACCGGTATGTGCAAAAAATAAAATAACAAGGCACTCTCTAATCATTTTAAGATAACTTTATTCATTATGGTATGTCTCGGAGGACCTGCTGGCCTTCATCATAGGGACAAGCAAATGTACCAAGTATGTAAGTATTCATCCTATGAAGCCTCACCACCTGTCAGATAACGTGCTACAGTGAGAAAAAACGTATGTAGACAGTGGTTAAAACCACCATCAGATGGTGGATAAATCAAAGTAACCAGCCTAGAGAAATATTTTAATGATGGTGATGAAAGCCAACAGGGTAAAACTCACCTCATAATTAATAAAAGGTATTTCAAAATCATAAATGTTTTGGCATTTTTTTCTTTGTTTTGAGGTAGGACCAGATAATCACTGAGCAAAATCAAGTTCAAAAGGCAGCACCAGAAGTGCCCCAAACATACCCTGTTCAACCTGGCCCAGGTTACCAACAATAATCTCCTGGAATCTCCTCCATACTCCAGAGAGAGCTGGGAGACACAAACCCTCTTGCAATGGCAGTTAGGTGTCATCCTAGACATGTTGGACTACCTATGCTATGTCTGCAGGAGCCAGCTATTGTCTCATGTCACCAATGACACATGTGGTAACACAAAGCCCACCTGAATGGAAAACTATTAAAGACAAGAGTCTGAAGAAATTAAAAAAATAAAAACTATAAGGGCATCAATGAGATAGACTCCCTTATAGTGTACTTGTTTCAGACACTCCAATGCAACTGAACCTCTGAACCCCTTCAAGTACAGAAAGAACCAGATCAATATTTAAGAAGTGTAACTGATTTGGTGCCAGACACCACTTAGAATTCATTCATCTTTTTTAACTGTATAATTATGTCATATACTGTTATTTCTGTATGCCTGCTCTCCAACTTTAAAACTGGCCAACATAACTGCCTCTGCATCAGCATCAGATAAATACCAGACATTCAAAGTAAATACCTCTCGAAGCACGCGGCCTGTTTTAGTGCTAACCCATAGGACCTTGTTAGCAGAAGTGGAGACCAGCAAATGTTGTGTGGAGGCTGTAGCGAAGCAGATCGTCAGTGCGGAATCTAAACAAGTGCTCTCCACATCCAAAATGCTTACATCTATATGGAGTAACTACAAAATATGAAGAATAGAGTGGCCTTGTAAGAAAAGAGGCATTTGTGAAAAAATGAGAAACTCAAATCAATAAAATTACCTCCTCTAGAGTCCTTGCGTCAGCAATAGTGACAATGCACTCTGAAGGTCCAACAAAAGCCAAGCAGCGACTGTCTTGGCTCACATTCAAAGCATCTGGGGAACGCTTGGTGCCACTAGCAACCATGTTACCTAAAGCAGAATGAACAAAGTAATTTCAAGTGTACAAATGAAGGACTTCGAAATACAGGCAGTTTATTATAGGGACATTGTTGCTCTGAGTTTGACCCATCCTTAATGCAGCTGGGCATCTTGTCAGGAGCAATGGGAGATCACAGTTCAGTGTCTGAGAACTTCAGATGTTGAACTACATTTATTGTCAGCAGTATCTAGCTGGAGCTTGAGAATAATATGCTTTTTTTTTTCAGTTGAAAAAAGCCACCCAGACAAAGACCTAAAATGTTGTATTTATTATTTTGTTTATGTGCTGGTGGTAAGGAGGGGTCAGGGGTCATTGATCAAGGGGGTACAACAAATATAAAAAAAGCACTGGACTGCTGTGTACTTACACACAACTCTAAGTGCAGAGTGGTCCACATTATTAGCATCGTACTGCACCAGAGAGCCCTCAGAGCTAGCACTGTACATGAATTCACCATTATGGGAGAAAACCAAGCCAACCACTTCACCTTTATAATGCCTTCAATTAAAAATAGATATACATTTCCATTATTTTGGGAAACAGCAGTAAATGGATGTATAAAATAATGTCTGTACTTATGCTCTGCCAGTAGTTTTGCACTGGGAATGCCAAAGACCCTTATAATTCCGGAACTGAAGCCACAAGAAAAAACCTGCTCACGGGGATGAAAGGCCACTGAACAGGGGCAGTCCTCAGACACAAAATCATACAGCTAAGCACATAATACAAGGAATTAATTAAAATGAATTACAGAAATGCTCTATAAAATAAATGCAAGCATTGTGGGGGTATACTTGATGTAGTGAATCCATATTCCAAATGCGCACAGTGCCATCAGAGGAGGCTGTTGCCAGATGTCTATGAACCCCACCCAAACTGAAGCCTAAAACAGTGTCTGTGTGAGACCTCATGAGAGTATTGTAATCATGGCTGTTCACATCCAAGTATCCCAGGATCCCAGTGGAGGTAGCTGCCAAAACCTGTAGGCCATCTGAAGACACAGACACTAAACTAACAGGGCCCTCGTGCTCTAAAATGCAAAAATAAGAATGATGAATGAGTACATTACTGCCACAAATAAGAAAATAACTGCCCTTCATTTTCTTAGGGGTAGTTAAAAGTTGTATTTTATCTACCAGCTTCCAGAAAAACTGAGGAAAAATCAAGAGGCCAGAGCCGTAGAAAGCCGTCCTCAGAGCCAGTAGCACAAAAGGATGTGGATATACTAATGCTGTTGATAGCTATGCTTGGACCTGGAGCACACACACACACACATACACTTAAGTCCAGGTACATTTACTTTGAAAAAGTAATCATCATCAAGCCTTTCAAGCAACCTGCTGTGAAGGTCCACTTATTTCGATGGTCTCCATGCTGTTCCTGTGTAGGTTGTAATTTTCGAACATGTTTAATCACAACTCTACTGTAGTCAATCTCAAATATATACCCACTCCGACTGCTTGCATATCTAAAATGAGAGAAATAAATCAATTACCATTTCTTTCAGCATCAAGTGAAGTATGTTTCACTCACAGAGTTTGATTATCAATGTGATGGCAGGAGGAGATGCCCTCTTCAAAGGAAACATCTGTGAAATCTTGTGAATGGTATTCACCCAGATTGACAGGACAAGAGCGCAGTGAGCCATTGCGCATACGCCATAGACGGATATTGTCACGACCACACGACACCATTCTACAAACCAAACCCCAAGACATAGACAGACAAAGAAGCCAAAATGAATCTGGGAAAGGAATATCAGCATGTGCAGCATTGCAGCTGGAAGAACCAAAAATCCAGGAACTGAGCTGAACTACCATTTGAGACCTAAGAGCACAGCAGGAGGCTGGCAACATGTAGCACAACTGCCTCACACTCACTATTTATTGCCAAAGGCACAATTCTAATTTTCCAATATGATAATGTGGCCTTCAAATAACAAGAGTTTTCTTTTCGCCTAAGACAACTTTGGTAATTATAGAGGTATTCATTTGTTCATCACAACTTATCTTTACAACCTTTCAAACTGTGAACCATTTTATTTAATTTATTTTAAGTTTTAGACAAAGCTATATATTTATGTATTCACATTTGTCAGTGCCATAAATTAAAACCAAAACAACTACAGTAGGTTTACATGTTTACTTCCCACCTTAATTCATTAAAAAGGAACAAAGGCATTTCTGAAACAAACATACAAACTAACTGAACTGACTGAATGAATATTCTCAAGTACCTCGTTTCATCAAAGAAGGCCACCTTCATTGTGTGAATGTCCACGTCGGTGTGTGCTTGGGCCAGTACTGTCACAATGCTCTCCTTCTGCACATTCAGAGTGCTCCACACCACCACTAGCTACAAAGGGTCAGATTAGTATGTAAAAGAGTCGGCGCACATACAGAATAAATCATAGATTCTAATAAGGTAGTGGGTTCAATACAATTTCATACTTTTTCAAATTTCATTATCGTATAACCAAATAAAAAGTTGCCTCAGCTTGTTCTCGATTATGGCTGTAATGGTTTTCCCTCTTATTAGTCTCTTGCTGATTAGAATGTTCAGCCTCTCTATGAAAGCCTTTAAATTTCTAATTGAACAAAGCTAAAACAACTAAGATTAAGTGTACCTAAACCACAATTAAAATTAAGGAATTAAAGGGGTATGAAAACGTACTACAGCCACTATAGACCACAGCAAACAGAAAACAGCAACAAGCAAATCTTTTGAATATTTACTAAATCATGGCACTCACTGTTTTACAATGACGGTCTTTACCAACCCCACACAGGACGGCTCCACTGTGCGAGAAACTACCAAACAAATACAATCACATTACTAAACTGAGTAGGCAGTTTCAGGTCACATTTTTGGGGTGTGTAACTTAATACCTAAGGGAGGACAATGAATGGGCGTGGTTCCTTATTGCAGCAAGACAGTTTCCTTTTTGGTAATCCCATATCCGAACAACACTGTGTTGACCAGTTTGGCCAGAGGCGAGAAGGGTAGTGCTGGCATTGAAATCTAATGCAGACACCTACAAAGCAGGAGAAGACAAAATACTCCAAAATCTAATCTCTGAAATTAATTACAGAATACTACTGAATTTAATCAAAGGTCTTTACTTTTTTATTGAGGAAAAAGGCCATGAAAAAGGTAAACTATTGAATGTGAAAGAACACAAAAAGATGTATTTACCTTATTAGTGTGGCCAATAAAGAATCTCTGCTTCTTTGAAGTGATATTCATGGAGACAATAACAGCATGGCATGGATATACCACTTCATCACAGGATTTGGTCCATAGTGCCTAAAAAATGTGTGATTCTTTTATGATGTTTTTGTCCCATTTCTGAATGACACTGATTCATTGCTTTTCTGAGTTTAAAAAACAAACGCAGCATACATGTTTGTTGGTTGCACCACCAAAGCCAATGACGCGTCCGAGTTGGAGAATGGGGTCAGGAAGCAGTTTCTGTTGAGTAAAAAAAACAAAACAATAAATAGCGTTTTAAATTTTTAATATAAAAATTTTGGACTTTCTCTTAAGTTACCTCAAGCTTTGTGAGTTCTTTTGGCAATTTTTGGTTAGTGCAAATCTAGAAGAAAACATATGTAATGTAGTGATCTTGATATAACATGAGAGTGGACATTAAAATCATATTCTAAAATGTATAGCATTCAAGAGTGCTTTACGTCTGCTTCACTCTCCTCGCGCTTTTGGAGGCTGTCACCAGATTGCACAAATACATGGACCCCATCTCCAGTGTTACATGGTGGTTTTGATGAGACGTGATGTGAACTAGGGCAGACCATCTCCTCTTCAAGTAGGTCATGACTGTGAGGAAGCCCATTCTCCTCCAGGTGAGAAGACACCACACCAAGCTCGGGAATGCCAGCAACCACACAAGACTGATCCCTGGGATACTGAAGAATAAAGTAAAATAACATTCAGAAAACACAATGGATAGGAAAACTGGACACTTGAGTGACATTCAGGCATTTCTTTGCAAAATATGGTTAATAGGTTTTCAACTATTCCTTAAAAAGTTAATGTGTAATCTTTACGTGCTTTTTCTAACAATAACTGAATGTAACTTGATTTCATTGTCCATTAATCCATGAACAAGTGCATTTTGTTCTTGATGTCACTTAAAATGTGTTTAGTCTTACTTTTTTGGGGGAGGTAATCTGCTGGATAAGAGAAACACGATCCTGAACTGGTTTGCTGAAGGAAACACAGTTAAGTCTTTCACTAGTTAGACATTTTGGGTTAAACGCTGTCCCTGGAAAGATACAAAAATAGTTTATTTGCAGTTTCATTCCACAATGGAGAAATACAATGTACATTCATACAATGTCTATCAATAAATACATATAGAATTCATCATTTTGGAAAGTACCCATTATCTTTCATGTATTAAAAAAGTGCATCAAGGTTCACAGCATTCATAAACTACTTTAATTCAGTGTGAATAGTAAAGGGCTATTCTACTATGGCTGCACAATCTTACATAAAAAGATCTGGAACACTTTCGGTTATATGTATGCTGTGTAAAATTACATCGCATTGTCAGTGCTACAAAGTGTGCTGAGCTCTACAATAACTTACAAGCTTGTGGGCTGTGGTGGTCTTTTTGAATAGAGTCAAACGGTAACTTAGTGCCTTCAGATGGGAACCTAATGTAACAGAAAAAAACGAAATATTAAACACAATATTTAATGACTCTAATGTACATACAAAGCTGTATAATAAGGTAGAGCTGTGCATTTAGTGGTGTTAGTCAATGATACCCGAGGCTGTTTTTATTCGAGAGGTCCACAGTCAGTCCTCTGTCAGTACAAGCATCTTGTTTAGAAACATTTTATTTCTTTTTAATATGATAGTGATATATTATATAATGATATTGCGTCAGTGAGAAAAACAACCAAAATCACCACTAAACCTTTATTAGGGGTGAGTAATTTTTAGCCTATAGCAGAATAATATTGATGAGAGCTACTCCCAAAACGTACCTAATATAGTCGTAAAGGTCATGCCAAGAACTTCCTCTGGGCACAGGAAATGCCATGTCCCTGGGAACAGGACCTGTACCCCGAGAGGAGGATAACCCCATGAGCCTGGCTTCACTGTAAGACACACCTTCAAAAACAAAGTCAAACGTCATTACAACTACATTCAGCAATACTGAGCATGCAAGGCATACAAAGATGGTAGCAAGTAGGGAAAATGGAATATTACCAGGATTAAACAGGAGGTCACTGGTGAACATGTTTTTCACAGCCATATTTGCACAAAGTTTAATGGTCCTGAGGTGGACGTAGCAGCGATTTAAATATTTAGAGAGTATGGATTGCAAATCCAGCATCAGACAGGTCCAACGCACTGTGGCTGGTGCTGGCCCTATCAACCCTAAAGAAAAAAGAAGAAGAAAAATGCAGATTTATAGACAGTTGTTCACATGATAATAATAACTGGGCTTTTACCTTGTCTGGCCATCTTAGCTGTATTTTCATAAACTGAATCCTCTGCTGCCCCACAAAGGAACGGAAACTGGAGCCATGTAACTGTTGACTTGAACTCTTTAAACATGTTCGAAAATGAGATACGCACCACTTGGCCCTCCTACAAGCAAAGATATACACTTTAATGTAATGTACATCAGATAATACAGCCACTTAACACAGCCACAGAAATTAGCCTGAACAAGCTGTCAAATAACAAAATGTGTTTGTTATAAGGATATCTGCATATTTGAGATTGACCATAAAATAGGGGAAAAAAAGCTTAAGGAGAAGATTCACGGTAAGTTAATTACCATAAAACTAGATAAAATAGTACCTCTGCAGCAACATCAATGTGAACCACAAAATATTTGGAAGGGGTAGGTCGGAAAAGCAGGTAGAAGTACTTTCCAGTCAACCCAAGGCTCTGGCTACTGCTTTTGGGCAAAAGGATGTAGCTGTTAGCAGGAATAGGGCCCTTGATCCTGAACACTGGACATCTCAGAGTTTTATCCTGAGTTCAGTATAGTGGAAAAATATATACAAAAGAATTAAAGTGTATACCGGCTACACATTTTACCAAGCCGTTTTATACAGCAGCCTACCGTGGATGTAGTGACTTCACCCTCTTGTGTTGTTTTTTTCCACTCTTCAATTTTTACATGTTTAAAAATGTTGACATAAGGATGCTGCCAACCTGAAAAGTAGTTTGAAAGAGAAGGATAATAAACACACACCGTTCATGACGGGTCCAAATCTTTTAGTGTAAAGAAGCATTACCTTTGGACGCCATTGTGAGCAACAGATACTGTATTCAATATCGACCTGTTGATGTCCAGTCAGAAACCTTGGGCTTGATGATAGCTAGCATGTGTAGCTTTCTTACAAATTGCAAGACTTTTGCAGATGCCTTTCTTTATATGCATATCTGATACGTAATTAGAGAACGCCACAACATTTAGGTATCTAAAGTAATCCCAAATGGCATCAGACTTGACAAAACCCATCCAATAGTTAAAAAAACAAATCCTTCCCGCTTCAGCCACCGCCGTTGTCACGACAGCGCCGACGCTGTTTCGCAAGTGTTTCTGGGTAACGTAGTTGTTCAACCCACATTTATCTGGACAATTTGCATTGGATTGGATTTAGTTTGTAGTCTCATTACTTTTATACAAATAACATTGACATTAATAAAATTTAGTTTTTTATTAAAATTGCCAATGTAATAATGTAAAATTAGACTCACCATTATGATTCACATAATTTGCAGCTAGACCTAGAAACATTATTACAATGTATGATCGCATATAAAAATGTACATTCATAGTTCAAAGCTACATTTACATTCATAATCTTACAGTTGTTTATCTCCATGGTGATGTTACTGCTTTACAAAATAATAATAATAACAATAACAATAACAATAATACTACTACTACTTCTACTAATACTACTACTACTACTTCTACTACTACTACTAATAATAATAATAATAGATAAAGTTACAGATTAGATGTGTAGATTTTTTTCACTGGTCATGTCGATACCAATTGTTTAGAGCAACCAACAGTCAATAACCTCAACCTGCCAATATTTTTTACTTGTTATGTGGAGCCAATTTCTCCCTAATTAGCCTATATGATAAAAACTGCAACTTATCCACAACCCTGTTTCACAGTAAATCCATAAGAGAGCTGTTTACATTTTGTGCATAGGTCCTCTTTGTGTTCAAATAAAAGTTAAAGTCTCTCCTTTAGTGAGGTGGCCAGCTGAAACAACCAACAACCGATGTTAGAGATTGAAGGCCAATAGCCATTGCGCTAAAAAGTGTGCACTGTATCATAAGAATGCATGATTTTTGTGGTATTTTTGAGCAATAAAACCAACAGGCTTCTACAGCTCCACTCAAACAGTGAGAGATACATGATTAGATTCACACCATACTCCATACAACTGTACAACAACTCACCCTTATGTAACAGATAATCCTGTGTCCTGTCAATCATTGCTGCGACCTTTTGTATAAAGATGTGGTTTTATTTTATTACTTAGCTTTCTATTTTATTTTGTACATATACATTTATATAAATATGTCTTATTTCTTTTTTAATCTTGCTATCTTTTTTCCACTTATTTAGAATTTATTATTGCCAATTATATTTTTTACTCTGTTATTATATTATTATATTGTGATGTACGAGCTACTGTGTCCAAATAATTTCCTTGTGGACCAATAAAATTTGTCTAAATCTAAGTGTAATTAATTAAGTAAGCTAATGACAGATAAAAGAGAGATATGTTTAATACTAGAGGGAAAACAATAACATCCTCATTGAGACATGGAGAAACCATGATTAAAGTTACATATTGCATCTTTAAATGCATAATAAAATAGAGAATGTCACTTAATTTCTTCATTCACTACATGTGGTAGTAATTCCACAGGGTCCTGGAGGTGTATGAGAAAGGAAACCTGCATGGCCACTGATTGCTCCCTGCTATTTTTTAGTTCCACATTGGGATCCATAATGTCTTTATTTAGCAATGTTGATGCACAGTTCTGCAGAGAAGGATGTGGTTGTGGGGTGAGTGGCTGACTCTGACACCTGAATGTCTGTGAACTGTCCAGAGTGTGGGATGACCCTTCGGCTAGTGAGAATCTGTTGCCTTCAGGGACCGTGGCAATAGAAAGTGTTTCTACTCGTGAGTCAGCCACTGCTAGTCACTGCCTGCAGCACATCATTGCAGCCTCTGTCCTCCAACTGTGTAACTTTCTCTTCAACTCTGTTTTAACCTGTGCAGAAAGGAGAGCCGAATCACTTTAACATTGCAATTTATGGTCAAACACAACAGGGTTAGAAAAAAGCAACTAATTTTGAAGCAGTTTCATGTAATCGCCAAACTCACAGATGGCAAGTCTCAGCAGCTCATTGCCATGTGAGGATAGATATAGCAAGATTTTAACTACCCATGCACATAAAATAATTATGTGCACAAGAAAGCTGAAAGTAACAAACCTCATTATTGGCATAACAATAAAGCACAGCCACAATGAATCCCTGCCAATACACAAGAAAGTATTATCAGGTGCTGTATGTTTGTTCAGCCATCTGTATTTTAACTGAACTGTGCTCAACATATAGTCACATTCTGTTCAATACCTGAAATGAATTGAGAGAAAGTGTAAAAAAGACTTTGATGTAACGCAACAAGCCTGTTGTCTGCTCATCTGTTGCAAAGATGAATATAAGCTCATGAATACCAAACAGCGGAATCAGGGTAAGGGTAGCCTTGGCTAGCCTGGCAGGAAAACATAAGCAAATTAGCATCAAAACAGAGTTTGGTCATCTAGACCAACCTACCTCAGCTTATAATCAGGATAACCTCTTTGATTGCTGGCTCTGAGCTTTGAAAAAATCATCTTGATGACTTTAAGAAAAATCATAAAATTAATCTGTTGGTATACAAACAAACAGGCCATTACTAATTACATAGACAGTAAAATCGCAACATTCTGGATATGTGCCAGTAGTATTATTCCTACCAGTGAGGCAAAAAGAATAGGAAATCGAATTATCCACCAATAGTTCATATTTTCATTAAATGCCCAACATCTAAATAGGAAAATTGTATGTTATCATTATGTTACCTTTTGCCAGATTACATTTAATAAGGTGATTGAGGTCTTACTCATTGTTTTCTTTTAATAGCTTCATCACAACCCAGGGGACCACAAACAGCACCGGTGTTCCTGAGACATAAACAAGAAGCCATTGTAAAGCAATTATAAAGACACTGGGTGAAGATAGATCAATTGGGCTGCTTTTTTTTCTTTTTGCATTTAATACAAACAGCCAATGTCTGTTAACATAAATGTAAACCTTCTCATAAATTGTCCTTAATGAGTTTCCTTTAGTCCATAAGAATATATTCAGTTCATAAATTATTTTGTAAGAGTTATTTCAGGTCTTACTTTGAGCTCAGTTGTAAAATAAGACAATGAATCAGATGCATGGAAATGTGGTTGAATTTACCTGACTTCACCCTACATTGGATGCTAGCCAATTACAATGGATTGAACACTCCCTAAAGGATTTATTTAAAGACAGTATAGTGTGCTTGTTTGTCTGGCTGCTGTATAAGCCTAGTTATAATGTATGATACTTGTGGATCATTATTTTATATTTTTGAAGTTTTAGGTCTAAAATTACATCATGAAAGAAATGGGACCACTGACTTCCAGTTGAGGATTTGTATTTAATTTTAATTTATTATTTATATTTTGTGCAGAACTGCCAGTCAAAGTGCAGTCCAGTGGTCACCAGTGTCTTGTGGTACTTCCTAAAGTCAGCACAATAGAGTGTTTCTACTCGTGAGTGTAAAAAGTGCACAACGCCAGTAAAACTCAGGTTTAACGTACGTGCACCAAGTCGACATTAGTCACTTAATGCAGGAAAATATAAATGACTCCAACAAACATTTATCACTCTAAATGCAACTTTGAGAGCGTAAATAAGAAGTGGAAACAATTATGACATTGTTAAAAGTAAATTTTGCATAATATGTCCCTTTTAAACTAAAAAACACAAAGATGAAATGACAGGGCTTTTACTTACCCCATCCAACACACATGTAAGGCAAATATTTATTGTTGTCAATAAATACTGATGCGATCAGAACAGAGTATAGATAAAGTGCCTCTCCGAAGAACCAGTGATGATTGGCTAACACGCAATACTGCATCATGACCTGGGCAATCCTGCAGCCAATAGCAGCCTAGAATGATATGAAGATAATTACTTTAATCAAGAATCACTTAATGGTAGTCCAATGAATGTTATACCCTGGTGGTGTCAAACTAAGTACTAAACTTTTGCTTAAAAAGGGGCTACAAGTAGAAATTAGCACAGTGCTACAACTACATTTCTACTGTTAAACTTGATGTATATTGTGCACTGTCCCTGTCTCATCAAATAAATAAACATAAATAATATAAAGTATAGAAAGTGATTTTAATAGAGCACAATGAGGTGAAAGCAATCCTTTAATATATTGTTGGTAAATGTATCAAATGTTATCTTAACACAAATTACTTGAAAAACTCAACAATCATCTTGCAGCGCAGCCTAATCAGAGTAAATTACTAGCACTTTCATCTCAGCTTGTAAGAGCCATTTTCTGTACCAACCTGTTTTCCCAAAGAATTTGAATTGATATGAATTACTGCACCACTATCCTGAAAACTGAAAACTGAAATCCTTGCAACCTGTTTTTATGATTAAACAGTGCAACAGTAGAAAATGTATTCAGGTATGTGAGAAAAGACTATAGTCCAAGTTTGTCTGTCAGTTATGGGTTCCCAAATATTGTAGATTGTTTCATTGAATGTAGCGCATCATATATATATGTCCTTATGCACTGATAAATGTCATAATGCATCATTGTCTCCGCTTCTTTATAAATCTACAAACTCACTGCACTACCAGCTGTGATTGGCCAGAACTCAGAGAATATGCAGATTGTTGTTTGATTGATCAAGTTATATATAAAAGACTAATCTAAAATGTTACTAACATTGTGTAAAAAAGTTACTAGTACTTAGGGTAGAATTTTTCATGTGTACTTTCTACTTTTACTTAATGGTGCACTGCGTAGCATTTCTAGTGGAGGGTCTGCCACCAGCTTGTCTCCAAGGAAATATTATTGCTTTGTCTTGAAAGTTCCACAGTATAGAGCAGACATGTCAAACTCAGGCCCGGGGGCCATATTTGGCCCACGAGATCATATCAAATATGTATTAGAGCTGGCCCACTGGCTACAAATAGGCTATAGAGACATTATTTATTTAAAGTTTTGTTATTATTTTATATTGTGCTTGTTCTGGATTCAATGTTTAAGCAAAACTATTAAACATTTATTTTAATAGGAAAAGGTTAAATATCTCGACAGAGGAGAAAAGATGCAGATGTTGTTGACATTTTTCAATAAATATTCAGTTTGGCCCAGGATTTAGTCCCAGTTTTTAATTTTGTCCCT